GGGGGGGGGGGGATAACAGCGTGAGAGAACTCGTCACGTTGATCCGACTCGCAGGCAATACGTTGTGCGAGGTTCCACGGAGGAAGCTGAGGAGGACGAGGAAGAAGAAACCACCGCGAGAGCAGGCGGCACTTTCACTCGGCAGTGTGTCGAGGATGCGCACGCTCGTGAACTTGCCTCGCACGGCTCCTTTTGCTGTGTGACGAACGCTCAAAAGAGCCCTTCTTAAGAGTCGCCGCGGTTGTCCCGAGCTTCGACCACTCTTGTGCATTCGCGAATCGACTTTGCGCAACAACACCGCACGCCCAACCGCATCCCATTTTTCGCGCCGTTGAAGCAGCGCACGCGCGCTTCAATCATGTAAATTTATACTAATTACGAGTGCGGAGAGATAATGTAGAGACACGAGGCAGGAATGTTTCCTCATGCCGAAGTTAATCGCTCTTCTCACGCTCCCGATTATCGCGCGAAGTGAAGGCACGAATGAGACGTACCGAAAACCCCGTCGGCAATTTCGACAACGAGAGTTCCCCGACGAGAATCCAGAAGCCAATCTTGCCGTAGGCGATCAGAAATAAGAAATTTGTCAGGCATGATTGATTAGAAAACTTTCGAGGTAGTGCTATTCGATGTACTCGAAGCTTCGACATAATTTGGGGCTTGAAGCTTGAAGCTTTGATTCTTCAAACATTATTCCAAGATTCGAGGATTTCAAATATCAAGTCTCTTAATTGAACTATTTCTGAGAGGTGCGACAAGATTCCAATTGATATCACTTTAAGTATCTTCATTAAAAATATGGAACATTTTCGAGTTTACGAAGTCCTTAAAATTTCGAAATGATGTTCGAAGACAGAGAAAATTTTACTAAAAAATTCGTCATGTTCCCAGCGAAATTTACTATGTTTCTTAGTAATATATACTCTACTGACAGTGTCTATCCCTGTACTATTAAAAAACATAATAAAATTGTAAAGAATTTATATGAAAAAAAAAAAAACTATAATACTCTCTTCGTAAATATAATGCCTTAAAACTTCAAAATTTTCATTAAAAATCGATTTTGTAGTGCGCGATTTTAAAATAGAGCATTTCTCTATTTTTTATTCACTTCTTTACCTTGCTGAGAACATCTGCGCCGTAAAAATATCAGAATGTCTCAGACGCGAAGACTAATTAGCATATTACGGGAGGACAGCGGTCAACCGGCGTATTTCAGACGAGCAGAAACGCGGAAATGGCGAGGAAGATACGCGTGAAAGTGCGATTCGGCAGTGTCGCCAAGTACGCGACGATTATACAACGAGTCCTTGGCGTTGGATAACGCGCGGATCCCCGGCATCGAGCAGGTATTTTCCCCGAGGAAAAGTCCACGTTGCCTTACCCGAAGCGACTCGCCAATTTGCCGCGAAAAGAAAAGGTACCCCTCCTCTCGGTCGAAGTGGAACACTCCGTACAACAACGGTATAACGTAACGGTATTAATACGAGTCGTAGGATCTGCGAGATCGTCCGAATCGCAGATCCCGGACGTACGTCAGGTGGCACGTACGCTCGGACGACGATCCACGCGGATAATTGACGTTCCACCGTGCGATACCAGCGATACTCGATGATCGATGGCATCCCATCGCGGAGGATCGGGAAAGTTATCGGGGTAGAAACTCGATCGAACTCGGACTCTCAGGCGAAGGAAAGCGTGAAAAATCCGCGGCGTGGTCTGTTCGTAAGACGTGATCGTTACGTCGCCTTTGTCACACAGAAGCCCTGTTATGGCGAACGTTAAGTATATGATCTTCCGAGCAAGAGAAAGATTACATTAATTATGTAAAATTACATATATATAATAATATGTATTAATCATATACGTAATTATGTGTGACTCATGTATGACTTTGGCTTCTATAATAGCCATGTGTGTAGTCATATATAATCGCATATATCTCTACAACACACAAAAAAATATCATTTTTCAAGAAAAGTGACTACTCAGTTTATATCCTCAGTTATATATACACTCAGTTATTACATATACTCAATTTATATTGTTCTCTTAAGAGATAATAAATGTAATAATAATGAATTTCAGAGAAGCTCATCATCAGATGATCGAACATGAACTGGGAACATGACGAACTTTTTAGTAAAATTTTCTCTGTCTTCGGACGTCATTTTGAAATTCTTAGAATTTCGTAAACTCGAAAGTGCTCCATATTTTTAATGAAGATATTTAAAGTGATATCAGTTGTCGCACCTCTCAGAAATAATTCAGAAACTTGATACTTAAAATTCTCGAATCTTGAAATAATGTTTGAGGAAACAAAGTTTCGAATTTCAAGCCTCAAATTACGAAGCTTCGAGTATGTCGAATAGCATTACCTCGAAAGTTTCTTTCATCAGAGAAGAAAGAAAAGAAGATTGACCATGCTTAATCTCTTGAATGATTGCGAAGAATCACAGTGCTATCTATACTTTTTTTATATCATGTACCAAATTTTCATCTTCATTTTTTTTTAAACTTGCTTCATGTGGATTAGATCATTCTTGCATAACTATGGTCGATAAATTCTATTAAAGTTTGATTAATAATGAATTTAATCAACTGATGAAATTATTTATGATTTTATACATAACGATTGATCAATTTTGATGATTGATTCGCTGATTATTTTAATCAAAGAAAATATGTATTAATCATATACGTAATCATGTGTGACTCATGTATGGCTTCTATAATAGCCATGTATGTAGTCATATATAATCGCACATATCTCTACAACACACAAAAAAATATCATTTTTCAAGAAAAGTGACTACTCAGTTTATATCCTCAGTTATATATACACTCAGTTATTACATATACTCAATTTATATTGTTCTCTTAAGAGATAATAATCAAATGTAATAATAATGAATTTCAGAGAAATTCATGTTGAATGTTAATCGATGAAATGCCCAACACTGTCCAGACTAAGATCTCACGTCGCCAATGAAAAGTCGCCGGAATCGACGAAAGGTTTGCAAGAGCCATTCGGATCGCGAACCACACACACACACACACACACACACTACCGTCTTCGCTTCCCAGGCGAAAAATCGCCGATCTAACAGAGCGCGAAGCCGCATTCGGTTATTAAGGAAGTCGTAAACGTCGCGGAGCGCGTCCTCCTCCGGCCTCCTCGCGGGCGAACGCGGATCGATCGGAGACGCGGCGGCGTCTTACGAAATGACCGGAAGTTCTTCTCCATTCAAACGAGGTGGCACGTAGCCGGAGGAATCCGCAGGTATTACGTGCACGCTGTTCTCGATTAGAAGTTCCGCGCACTTCGGAACGGCATCCTCGTGTTTCGTAACGATTTCGCCCACCGTGTAATATCGGTGCGCTACCGGGGTTTGGTTTATCTCTTACGTCGGTAAACGGGTCGCCAAGTGGAAGAAGAAGAACGAAACGAGAAAAAAAGAGAGGAACAAGAAGAGGAGAACGAAAACATACACTGAGAGAAAAATGTAGTTGCTTTCGGCGTCAACTATACTTTTTTGTGATTTTAACTAAAAAAATAATTAGAAAAACCATTTTTCTGATAACACTTACTAAAATAATAGTTTTTCTAACTATTTTTGTGATTAAAATCACAAAAGAATATAGTTGACGCCAAAGACAACTATATTTTTCTCTCACTCTACTGTAGGTAGAATGAGAAAAGAATACTTGAAAACTTATTTGTGGGATATAAAGTTTATTTCTGTGAACAAACTTTATAAATAAGTTTTGAAATATTTTTTTCGGTGTATCTATCATCTATACGGAGAAAAAAACATATGAAAATGCATTTGTAGGGTAAAAATTTATTTCAACGAAATAAATTTTATCTTGTAGAATCAAATCCCACAGATAAATTTTCAAGTACTTTTTTCTCATTCTATCTTTCCCCCAGCGTGAACTCGTGAAAAATGCAAAGTCTCATCAAATTTATCAATGAATCAAAGAATCAATGAACGAGAATGAATTGAGAAATTCAACAAAACTTTACATGAGTTTACACTAAAGAAAAAGAATGTACGATCAATACCAACGAGAAGAAGATGAAGAACTTTCTTTGCGCAGCTCGAAAAAGATGCCACCTGCTTTCGAAGGTTGTCGAACCCGCCGGACACTCATACAATGTTCCACACCCATGTCCCACGTCATCGATCCTTAATTACTTTCTCTCGGAAATCGAAGTAGAAGAAGACGAGTTATATTCGTTCACTGTGATCATGCATCACGACGAAGAACTTCTC